TGAAATCCTAAATTCAAGAAGGGAAGGGAAAGAAGGAAGAAAGGAAGGAGAGATGATGGAAGGAAAAAAATCCTAAATTTGTAAGAAAAATCCAGATTACTAAGATAAAATCACAATTGCAGGAAACAGAAGCCAAAAATCTCATAGAAAGAATCACCAAGACAAAAAGCTATTTCTTTGAAAGGATAAATAAAATTGACAGACAGGGCCAGGCATGGTGGCTCATGCCTGTAATCCCAAAACTTTGGGAGGCAAAAGCGAGAGGATTGCTTTAGCCCATGGGTTCAAAATCAGTCTGGGCAAGATGGCGAGACCTCGTCTCTACAACAAATCAAAAAACTAGCCAGGCATGTGGCACACACCTCTAGTTCCAGCCACCTGGAAGACTGAGGCAGAAGGATCACCTGAACCCAGCAGGTCAAGGCTGTGGTGGCCATGAGCCTGCCACTGCGCTCCAGTCTAGGTGGCAGAGTAAGGATCCAACGCAAAAATAAATTAATAAATAAACAAACAAATAAATATTGACAGACCCCTGGCCAGATTAACTAAAAAGAAAGAGAGAGAGAGAGAAAGCCCAAATAAACACAATTTTTAAAAATATTATATATTATAAATGAAAATTTGATGTCACAACTGACCCTGAAGAAATTCAAAAGATTATCAGAGATTACAACAAACATCTGTATACAAATAAACTAGAAAACCTAGAGGAAATGGAGGAATTCCTAGTATCACATAACCTCCCAAGGTTAAAACAGAAAGAAATTGAAACCATAAGCAGACCAATAACAATCTTAGAAATTGATTCAGTTGTAAGAAACCTCCCTGCCAAAAAAAGCCCTGGACCAGATGGTTTCTCACCTGAACTCTATAAGACATACAAGGAAGAGCTGATACCAATCCTACTGGAAATATTCCAGGCAATCAAGAAGGAAGGAATTCTCCCTAGCTCATTCTGTGAAGCTGATATCATCCTGATACCCAAAATGAACAAAGACCCAACAAGGAAAGAGAATTACAGGCTAATTTCCCTAATGAACATCGATACAAAAATTCTCAACAAGGTTCTAGCAAATCATATCGAACAACACATCTCAAGGATCATCCACCATGACCAGACGGGCTTCATTCCTGGGATGCAGGACTGGTCAACATGTGTAAGTCTATAAATGTAATTCATCACATTAACAGATGTAAAACCAAGAACCACATGATTATTTCATTAGATGCAGAAAAAGCATTTGATAAAATCCAGTATCCTTTCTTGATAAAAACCCTCAAACACCTTGGCATCAAAGGAACATTCCTCAAAATAATAAGAGCCACCTATAAGGAGAGAACTCCAGAAAAACCTCAGAACTTATTATAACAAATGTGTACTCTTACATGCTAAAACTTCAGTCACCTTCAAAGTACTCTCCATTTGATGCAATATACCTATCAAGATGCTTTTTCCACTGCTCAAAACATTTGTGAACTTATCAATGTGGATGCCTTTTAATGCTTCTGCGGTGTTTGGTTTCATCTCTTCCACATCAGCAAAACATTTCCCCTTGAGGACTTTTTTCCCTCCGGGAAAACAAAAAGTTGCTGGGGCAAGATCAGGTGAATAGGGAGGGTGGGGCCTGGAGGTTCATGCTGTTTTGCATCAAAACTGCTGAATACTCAGCATGGTGTTGTCAGGTCACCCATCATGAAATGGGAAAACCGCATGGAAAGAATCTCCAAAAAATATTCACTGGAGTTGAACACAGCCTCTTACAACAACACTAGCTGGTACACTGATGCCAATGAGTTCCTAGAATATTTACCTAATGGGAGGAGTCTGTACTACAAGGGACCTGCCCTCCAAAATGATTTCTGGGTTTTTTTTTTTGAGGTTCCCCCCTTGTATGACACACCTGCAGCTAACATTATGCTTAACAGGCAGAAGCTGGAAGCATTCCCCCTAAGAACTGGAATAAGAAAAGGATGTCCGCTGTCGCCCTTCCTATTCAATATAGTACTGGAAGTCCTAGCCAGCAATCTGGCAGGAAAAGGAAATCAGGGATGTCCAAATATGAAAAGAGGAAGCTAAATTATTCCTCTTTGCAAATTACTTAATTCAATACCTAGAAAACTCTAGAAAGTCTGTCAAAAACCTCTCACTGATAAATGACTTCAGTAGTCTTGGGATACAAAATCAGTGTGCAAAAGGCAGTTGCATTTCTTTCTCTCTCTTTTTTTTTTCAGTTAGAGTCTCACTCCATCGCCCATGCTTCAGTGCTGTGGCACACTCATGGCTACCCCAGCGTCGACCTGCTGGGCTCGAGTGATCCTTCTGCGTCAGCCTTCCAAGTAGCCAGAACTACAGGCGTGCACTACCACACCCGGCTAATTTTTTTAATTTATTGTAGAGAAGAGGTCTCAACAAGTTGCCTGGGTTGGTCTCGAACCCACAAGCTCAGTCAACCCACTCAACTCAGCTTCCTAAAGTGCTGGGACTGTAGGCTAAGCCACGGAGCTCAACCAACAGTTGCATTTCTATACACCAACAACAAGCTGGCTGAGCACCACATAAAAACACAATTCCATTCACAACAGCTACCCAAAAAATGAAATACCTTGGCATCCACCTAACCCAAGAAGTGAAAGACTTTTACGATGAGGACTAAAAAACACTGCTCAAAGAAATCAAGGATGATACAAACAAATGGAAAAACATCCCATGCTCATGAATCGGAAGAGACAATATTGTCAAGATGTTCATCCTACCTGAGGCAATCTACAGATTCAGTACAATCCCTATCAAATTGTCAACGTCACTTTTTACAGACCTAGAAAAGACAATAGAGAATTTCATATGGAAGCAAAAAAAGAGTGTGAATAACCAAAGGAGTCCTCAGCAAAAGGAACAAAGCTGGAAGCATCACATTTCCAGACTTTGCACTTTATTACAAGGATACAGTAACTAAGATGGCATGGTATTGATTGAGGAATAGACACGTAGACCAAGGGAATAAGATGGAGAATCTGGAAATAAAAGCATGGTCCCTCAACCAACTCATCTTTGACAAAGCCATCAATAACAAACACTGGGGAAAGGAAATCATATTTAGCAAATGTTGCTGGCAAAACTGGCTAGCCACATGCAGAAGACTGGAACTGGACCCCTATCTATCACCATATACAAAAATTAACTCAAAATGGATTAAGAACTTAAATGCAAAACCTCAAACTAATAAGAATCTTAGAAGAAGACTTAGGGAACACCTCCTGGACATCAGTGTAAGCAATGAATTCATGGCCAAGTTCTCAAAAGCAAATATAACAAAAGCAAAGATAGATAGGTGGGATCTTATGAGACCGAAAAATTTTTGCACAGCAAAAACCAAAACCAAAACCAAAAAACCATCAAGAGAGTAAAGAGACAACTTACAAAATGGGAAAAAATATTTGCAAGCTATGCATTAGACAAAAGTCTAACAAAGCTATGCATTGGACAAAGGCCAGGATCTACAAGGAATTCAAATGAATTGAAAGGAAAAAAAAAAAGCAACCCCATTAAAAAGTGGACAAAGGACATGAACAGACACTTTTCAAAGGATGATATACAAGTCGCTAACAAATATATGAAAAAATGCTTGGCCTCACTAATCATCAGAGAAATGCAAATCAAAACTATAATGAGATACCATCTAGCATCGGTAAGGATGGCTATCAATTAATGAGCCAAAAAGCAACAGGTGCTGGCACAGCTATGGAGAAAAGGGAATGCTTCTACACTGTTGCTGGGAATGTAAGCTAGTTCAACCTATGTGGAAAGCAGTGTGGTGATTTCTCAAAGAACTAAAAACTGAGCTTCCATAGGATCCAGCAATCCTTTTTCTGGGAATATACCCAGAGGAACACAAATCACTACCAAAAAGACAGTCACACACATGTATGTTTATTGCAGCACTATTCACAATAGCAAAAACATGGAACTCATAAGCAAGCCCTGAACACTTGTCTCACAAGCACAAGGGTAGAATCAGCAGATGCTGGACACCACTGGGGGAGAATGGGGGGGGAGAATGGAGGGGTACACATGGCAACTATCAGGGGGAGAGAGGGCCAGCTAGAAGCCCAAATGTCACTTGCAGGCAACCTACATGTGTAGTCAATCCCCACCCGAACCCCAACTACTCTAAAAGAAAAAATAATTACAAAAACAAAGTCAAAGTCATAAAAGATAAAGAGTGACCGAAGACCTCTTTTGTGTTGAAAAAGACAGCACATGACAACTGAATTTGTAATCTGGTCTTTTCTTTTACTACTAAGGAACATTATGTTGACATTTGGTGAACTCTGAATAAGGTCTGTAAATTAAAGTAAGATGTCAAAGTCAATTTGCTTATTTTGACAATTATATTGTGACCATGTAATATTCCAATTTTTAAAAAGCATATATTATTCAAGAGTAAAGAGACATCATGTTTGCAACCTACCCTCTAATGGTCCAGATTAAAATATGTGTGTTCATACATCTGTGCATGTGTGGAAGAAAGAGAGGAAGAGAGAGAGACAGAAAGTACATGAGCGAGTGCTGGGAAATTTACCTCCAAATATGGCTTTTTGGTATAATGAGTACTTTGAATTAAAAACCCTTAAAAATCAACAGACCTTGGAGGAGACTTTCCCTCTGTCTTCATAAAGTCCACGTGGACCCACCAAGAAAAACAACCGCCTTTCCTTCCCTTCCCTGTTATCTCATTATCTATTACAGGACATGAAAAGAAGAATGTAGTCAGCCTGGCCCAGCACTTTTATCTGTGCATCTTCCCCCGGCAATCATTTGTTGTCCCTCAATAGATTTCCTCTTCTTCCCTTCCCATGACCTGTTTGACCAGAATCCAAGCCCCCCGATCTTTCTGCCACCTCAAGATGGTGTTTAAGTGTCTGTAACTCATGGGGAATTGGGACTTCATTCTGAAGGCTCCTGTGTATACACGTTAAATAAAGTTGTGTGCCTTTTCTCCTATTTTTTTTTAAACAAGCTCTACCAAGTTTTATTATAAAGAACAATTTTGCATGATTTACTTTTCACCAGTCTGTTCTGGCATGCTTCTAGTGAGATCAGAATCACCTGAATCAATGATAGCCAGTGTGCATACTCTGTAGCATTTTCCACACGCTGTGTCCGTTTCAATATTATTGCCACTGTAGTGATGGACACCGGTTTTCGCCAACATAGCATAGTACTCTATTTCAGGTTTCCTCAAAGCCGGGCAGTTGTTGGCAAGGAGGACCAACTTGGTTTTGCCTTGTCGGATCATCTTCAATGTCTGTTTGGACCCCAACATGTACTTTTCACTTTTCATAATGAGTTGGAGCCTTGAATTGATGGACTCCAGCGACTTTCCTTCTCCTCCTTCTTTTTTTTAGTTATAGTCTCTGTTATCCAGGCTGGAGTGCAGTGGCACACTCATGGCCACCCCAGCGTAGACCTGCTGGACTCCAGCGATCCTTCTGCCTCAACCGTCCAAGTAGCTGGAACTATAGACGTCCACCACTGCACCCGGCTAATTTTTTTTTTAATTTATTGTAGAGCTGAGGTCTCGCCAAGTTGCCTGGACTGGTCTCAAACCTGCGGGCTCAGGCAATCCTCTCGCCTCAGTCTCCCAAAGTGCTAGGATTACAGGCTGAGCCACCAAGCCCAACTTTTTCATCTTCTTTGCGGCCACTACCTTCTTACCTTAGGTGCAGGGTGGACCCCAACCAAAAGCAGCTGCCAAGGTGGCTGGAGAGCGAGAAAGGTGCCTTTTGTCCTGTGAAGCAATCTGTCTCATGTCAGTGATTTTTCGGCGAACCCTTAGGGAGCCAACAGCCATGGCCACCACAGTTTTGGCATAGTTGTCAGGATGGACAACAACAACAACAAAAAAAACACAACAAAATGTTCTTCTCTTGTGGAAGCTAAAGTGAAGAGAGCCCAGGAACCTGTTCTGCCTGCAGAGGGGTAAGAATTCTCACCTAGCCTAGCCCTGGCTTCTCTCTTTCTCTGTGCACTTCTGGTGGGTGGACGGTAAAAATCAAACTGCCTCATCTGCAAGGTTTTGATTATTGGCGGCGGGGCGGGGGGTGGGGGGGTGGAGCGAAAGCATTTGTGGAACTAGTCTTGGGTTGTAGAGACTCTGGTTTACTTTTGGTACTTTGCAGTTTGAATATTCATCTTGTTTGATCCTTGTTTCTCTCAGAAATGACTTTTTGTCTAATCATCTTCTTTGCTCTTTGTCCTTCTGTGTTTGTCATTAATTGAGTGACCAGAGGGCAGAACATGGGCCTAGAACCTTATAAGCTTGCGGTTTCAGCCAGCGCTGCAAACTAGTCAGTTTCACAGTTCTGACTAGTCTGGTGTCTGTTAAAGACAAATGCTACTGCGAGTCCCTGAAACAAACAAAAAAAAATGAGGTTTCCTTCTTGTCTCATCTTTATGTCCTTGAGGGCTTGACTTTCTGACTAAGTGGGACTCCCTCCCTCTCTCTCTTAGTTAGTCTCCACTATTTGGAGGGTGTGAATTGTCAGGTTCATGTCAGGTGGCCAGTCTGAAAAGACTGAGCATCTGAGACATGTAAGATTCAAGCAACCCACTCCCACTTTTGATCCGAATGTGTCATGCTCTTAGGGGAGTTTTGTTTAAAGTGCCTCATCCCTAGGGGGCATTTGTGGTCTTTTGTCTGAAGTCTATTTCTGAGAGTGAATTTTGGAACATCTTGGGACTGCCTTCTTTGTGCCCTCCCCAAGAATATATGGTAAAAACCTGAAAAATTACCACCTGGGCTTTAAAGAGAATTTTCCAGGTGGGAAAAGAAAGATTTTAGACATTTCTTATTCTAGACAATTGATGGAAAGGTGAAGTTAAAAGAAAGATGTAACAGTGTCACAGCTAGCCTTAAGAATTCTCTCCTAGCCGGGCTCGGAGACTCAGCCTATAATCCCTTGCCTTTGGGAGGCTGAGGTGAGTGGATTGCCTGAGCCCACGGGTTCGAGACCCATCTGGGCAGCGAGACCTCATCTCTA